TCATCCTTGTCGTCTTTTTCCTTTTTCTCCACCTCGGTCCTGCGTCCCGCATATCGTCCTCCTCCTCCTCCTCCTCCTCCTCCTCCTCCACCGGCTTCTCCTGCATAAAGACTCTCTCGCCCGCGCTTCTTCGTCGTCGTCGTCGTCGCCGTCGCCGTCTTCGTCGTCGTGGTCGTCGTCGACAACCACGACGACGATTACGACGACGACGGCGACGTCCAGCAGCGCGAGCAAAACGTTCCGACGCCACCGACGCCGCCGCCGCCGCGCATAAATCTTGTCTCTCTCTCTCTCTCTCTCTCTCTCTCTCTCTCTCGCTCTGCCTGCTGCTCTCTCGCGCGCCCCCAATCGCCACGCTCTCCTCTACACCCACTATAGAGAGCCCGACATACCCTGCAGGGAGGATGCACGAGCAATACGCGGAACGCGTACAACACTCATTGTTCTTGTCGGCTCCCGCACCCGGGCGACCGGTACCGGAATAGCATGCTATCCCGCGTGCCACCGCGTTAATATCGCTCCCGTGCGACGCGCATAACGATGGGCCCATCTCTCGCATTACTGCGCTCAACTGAAGCCCGACTCCGGGTAAATCCGCCGAAGCGGCCTCTCGAAACACGAGATAAAAACTGCCTCGCGCTCGCGCGCACCGTTTAACCCCGTTGAAAACGCGCGCTGCAGACGCGCTCTCGCCGAGACTGACCGCGGCGAGATCCTGAAGCTCAGGATCACGCAGAAAGTAGATTGGATCGCGCGTGAGCGATCTTTTCCGATGCGCCCAGGACGAACGTGCGGGGGAAAGGACGACCTCACCTATGTTTGTTTATTCGTGTGTCTTTCGCTGAGAACGCACTTCTCCCTCGATGAACCTGTCTGCCGCTGTTCCGCTACGGGCGGGAAGCTACGTCACGTCGCGCTGGCTAATTGCGAGCGGGATGCAAATGAACGGCGAGTCGCCATCGATCTTAATTGCGCGATAAAAGAACATCGATTCGCGGTCCAACGCGGAAAGGGTCGGAGAGGGATCCGCGCGGCGGATGGACGAATTACGCGGGCCAAGTGCGCTCGGGGATGATAAGAGGCTCGAGTTAAGGGTGCGCTGGAGCGTACGGAGCGCACGAGGAGCGCGAGGGTGGGACGACGAGAGCACGCGAACGTGAAAAAGATACCATGTCGACCCCGTGCGTTTCTCTCTCCGCGAGGAACAGTCGAGCGCGGGGCGGAGAGGGGGTTGCCAACACTCGCCGGAAACACGAGCGAGCTGTGCGCGGCTCGTACGCATCGACCGAGACGACAGACGCGAGTCTGTTGGAAAAAAGGAAAGATCGCGGAGGTGCTTGTCTGCTGTATGGTATGATAAAAAGCGAGGAAGACCGGTCGCGAGTGCAACGGCCCCGCGAGTCGTCTCCCCGCGCGGCGGCGGCGGCGTCCCGTTTAATTTTCAATTTATTATCTTCAAACTGCAGCGCGTGACACTCGTAATTATAGCGCCTCGGCGACAACCAACAGGTAGGAAGAGTTCTGAACTTTGCTCGTAGAGCGAAGGTGTCGCGCGGATAGACGTGTAATATTGTAATGAATATTTAGCAGGATAGATATCGCCGAGATTAGAGCGAGACGCACTGCGACGAGTAACACCGACCGTGCATCTCCAAGGCGACGCGAGGCAGCCTATCTTAACGGCGCGGCGCGGCGCAGCTCCCGCAACTCGCTCGACGAGCGTCGTGCAAATTAGTAATCCGCACTGGCGACAGCTCGAGTCGATAGCTCGAGTCGAGGCGGCGCTCTCTGCGACGGCGACGAAGCGAGTGAACGCGGCCGATTCCGCGGGCCGCGGGGCGATCTGGCGCGGCTGCGGCGGGGACGCGGGTGTCAAATGAGATTTGTTATTGAAATGAATTTTTCATCCGCGGCTCCGGCGGCCGCCGGAGATTAAAGAGCCGCCGCCCCGCCCACGTGCGAGATCGCCTGGCCGATAACGACGGCGCCGAGCGCGGCGTTTCCCAGGGACTCCCGGTTCGCGACGTACAAGGGCGGCGAGCCGCGCCCGGGCTTCGGCGCGACTCGCCGGAGATTTCTACCTGGACCTGGACGAGAGCCGCCGCCGCCGCCGCCGCCGCCGCCGCCGTCGCCGCCGCCGTCGCCGCCGCGCCGGGCGCGCTGGAAGAAACGGCACGGGGATGTGGGCGGACAGACCGGCGACAACAATGAGCATTGTGATTTGCGCGGGTGTGCCTCGCGCCCCATTGGTCGATTCGCACCACCACCACGGCCCGTTCTCCGGAGCGTAAGCGCCAGCTCGGCAGGGGGTTGTACCGCCGCCGCCGCCTACGAGCTCAACAATACACAATGCGCGCAGCGAACCACCTGAAGCCACCCACGTTGCCGCTTCGGAACGGCCACGGCGCGCTCCGCTGCTTCACGGCGGCCGCGCGTGCCGGAGTGCCCCTCCGCCGGGGGATGAACGTTTCGCGAATCGCGCGGATTAATTCGCCGACGATCGGCGGCCTCTGGGCGTTTCCCCGTTCTCTCGTTCGGCGAAATTTACGCGCGCGCGATTGTTCGCCGATGTCCGCCATCCGACAACGAGCGGCCTCCCGGTCGCTCGCCGAATTTACGCGCGCGGTTGCGCGGCTCGCGATTCGCCGACAATGAGCGCACTCTTGGCGTCTCCTCGTCGCTCGGCGAAATTAACGCGCGCGCGACTGTTGGTCGATTCACCGGCAATGAGCGAATTCTTAGTGTCTCCTCGGCGAGCGATCAACGCGAGCGATTGCGAACGCGTCGGCTCGCCGTACCGGAGAGCGATACTTGGCGTTGCTCCCTCCGTTGCTCGTCGAACTGACGCACGGCACAAGTGCGCGCACTCGCGATTGTCGAGCGTATCCGCGCGCGGCGGGCTTGAAAATCTCGGCGGACCTGGTGACGCAAGGCTATTGAGGCTATCATGACGGTCGTAGATACTCGCTAGCTGCAAAAGATACGATTCAGGCTCGGCGATAAAAGCCGCTTTCAGCGAGAGTGTCGCTCTTCGCTTGAGACGAACGTTGTTACTTTAGCGACACCGATGGACCGGCGCAAATCGGTAAAGTTCCGTTACGGCTCGCGCGCGCGCCATCGCCGAGATACAAGTCACCCTGGCTCCGTAGGTCGCGACGCTGAACCTCGTCGTCCGGGCGTCCGCTCGTCATTGAGCAAAGCATGACATCCATCAGGACGGACAAAGGAAGCGAGGGTGACTGTTATAACGCGCGTAGCTGGCCATTCGCGATGCCGCCTAGCGCGGCCAGCTACGAGTTGGCGGTGTCTAAGAGCGGGCGAGAGGAAAGGGGCGAGCGCGGATGCGGGTGCAGTGGCAAGTTGTGACAAGCACGCGGCGCACACAGGCGAACAAGTTTCGATCGCCGTCGACGGTGTCGGTACACGGCGGCGACGTTGACAAAGACGAGGACATCGACGAGGACGTTGACGAGGACGACGCCGGGAGTCGGTGGCGGTAGTGGTTGTAGTAGTGACGGCGGCGGCGGCGGCGGCGGCGGCGGCGGTGGTGGCGGTGGCGGCGGCGGCGGCGGCGGCGGCGGCGGCGGCGGCGGCGGCGGTGGCGGCGGCGACGACGGCGGCGGCGGCGGCGGCGGCGACGACGGCGGCGGCGGCGGCGGCGGCGGTGACGGCGGCGGCGGCGGCGGTGACAGCGGCGGCGGCGGCGGCGACGGCGGTAGTGGTAGCGGCGGCAGGAACGACGGCAGTGGTGGTGGTAGCGGCGGCGGCAGTGGCAGGCAAAGCTGGCCACGGCGTGGGTGTCGGAGAAAGGAGGCGGGAACCAGGCCCCCAAAAGGGGCGTGGAATGTGTGGCTGAAGTCGCCGCCGTGTACAAACGACGAGGCGCCTCTACGGCGGCGGCGGTGCGACGGAGAGAGGCAGCGAGAGCGCGAGGGGAACGAACAGAGAGCGAGAGAAGCGAGAACAAGAGAGCGATAGGGAACAAGAGGAGGAAGCGAGAGCGACCGATCGAGCAGCTGCTTGGTGGGACGAAGCGAGAAGGAGCGCGTTCCGGTAACAAAAGCGAAGGAGCGTGAGAGAGAGAGGGAGGAAGAGCCACTGTCGGAGCGAGAGGGGCGAGAAAGGGTGCGAGTAAGACAGGAGAACAGTAGCGGGGCGCGAGAGAGCGATGCGGCGCGCGGGCGCCGGCCGCCGCTGCCACCGCCGCCGCCGCCGCCGCCGCCGCCGTCGACAGGCAGCGCCTTCCGAATCTCATCCCGGTCGGTCCTCGGGGGCTTCAGTCAGTCAGCCGACGCTTCGAGACGCGGTGATTATTTCCATTGTATGCTCGCCGTTCTCTCGGGGGGGGGAGGAGGCTACCCACCGCACTCTCACGCGTTCGCGCTCTCCACCACGCTCCCTCTTCCATCCGCTGTATCTCTCTCTCTCTCTCTCTCTCTCCGCCGCTTCTTCGATCCTGCTCTCTCGCACGCGCGCTATGCCGGAACAGCCTCCGTGCGCGCCTCCTTCTCGCCCCCACTGACGCGGTCCCACTGACGCGCCGCGCGAGGCTGCTGTGAAGCCTCTCCGCCGTGCTGCAGAGCGCTTCGTGGCTCGCGGCAGTGGTACGCGAAGCAGAGCGTCACGTCGTTATCGCGATCGAGGTATCGTTGCTACACGGCTGTTATCCGCGCGAATCAGCGGCCAGGTAGTTGTGGCGCGCGAACGCGCGCGCGCGTGCACTACCGTCGTTCTGCCGGCGATTGGTGTTGAAGAAGTGCGCGAGCGGTACCGTCGGCCCGACACCAGCGGGGATCATGAGGTAGCGCGCGAGGAACCGCGGCGCCTACACTCGGCCTTTTGGTGAATCCCCCGCGCGCGGCCCCAGCCATGCGAGCCGTCCGTCCATCCGCTGTCATCCCGCAGACCGACATCCCGAGAGTGTGAGCAAGCGAGGAGTTGTGAGCTAGCCGAGAGAGAGAGAGAGAGAGAGAGAGAGAGAGAGAGAGAGAGAGAGAGAGAGAAAGAGAGTGCCGAGAGAAAACCCGGTCGCCCAACTCGCGCGCGCGCGGCTGCGATAGAACGGGGTCGTTGTAGCCTGTCCGATCACCTCCTCTCTGCTCTCTTCGTCAGTGACGGTTTTGCTCATTGTGCGGCAGTGCGTTCTCTTTGATACGTGACAAGTGTTACGTCGACGGCAAACCGGGTAGTCCAGGCTACCAGCGCGCGGCCAGGATGATATGAGCACGCTTGGCAGGTGAGTGAACTGAGCTCGCGTGCCTGCGGAGAGAACACGTGGTTTCGCGCGAGGCGCGCCGCGGAGACCTGGAAGAAGCGGCGGCGGCGGCGGCGGCGGAGCCGCGTCGCGATTGATCGCGATCGAAGCCGGAGCGTCGATCTCTCCTTTCTTCACCTCGCTTCACCGCTCGCGCTTCTAACTCGACTTGTGCGGCTTTCAAGTTGACACGCTTTCGCGAAAGGGTGCGCGCGCGCACGTTCGGTGATTGTTCCGCGTTTGGTGCATCCTGAGACGCTTTACGACTATCCTGCGAGAAAGGAGATATTTCCTTCGAAAGATAAGTCGTTGTCGTTCGCGGTGACGAGTTGATCGAGTCACCGAGAAACGCGGTCGGAGACCAGAGCGAATGCCGACTGTTCGTTTCGCGATCGAGATTCTACAAAGTTTTCGTCCTCCTCTCACGCAGCAGAGACGTGGATGAATCGTCGAGCCAGATTTAATTAACCGAGTCTCTCGGCGCAACTTTAACCTCCCTCTCGGCCCGGCCGCGACCCCCGCGTCCGGATCGATCTAACATTATGCGAGCCCTGACGCAACTCGAAGGCGGAATCGCGCTTACACGAGTTGCAGCGTTCACGCTTATAAGAGTCCGCGCCGGCGTGTAATTGGAGTCACGTCGTGACATTGTATCTCGTGATAGCCGGCCGTCGGCGTGATAGCGCGCGAGAGCGACTGGAGCATGTGTAGAACGCGCGTATGTGGTCAGTCTGTGTGGATGCGTGCGTGCGTGCGTGCGTGCGTGGCGTGCACACGCGGGGCCATGTGTTCGTCGAAAGCGAAAGAGAAAGAGAGTCGTTTTAGGACGGACAATCAACGAGAGAAACGGAGAGAGTAAGAGAGAGAGACAGACAGAGAGGGAGGGAGGGAGAGAGAGAGAGAGAGAGAGAGAGAGAGAGAGAGGTGTAACGAACGAGGGTTGAGAGAGGGAGCGTGCTCTCTACGCATTTGACCCAGTGACCTCCCCGTCGCCGTATCTTGCTATAGAGTTTCATCCACTCCCCCGCGGTCGACTTCCCCCTGTCGCGGAATATCTTACGAGACCCTTTTGAACAGCCCACGACACGAATTCCTTCCTTCCTTCGCTTGGCGCGTCCTGCGGCCGCTGCAGCTCGATGTCCACCCCGGCCAATTACGACGCACCGTGTATTGCACTTTCGTGTCTCGTGGACATCCTTTCAGTGTCGAGACACGTGGCCGAGAGAGAGAGAGAGAGAGAGAGAGAGAGAGAGAGACAGAGAGAGAGAGAGAAAGAGAGAGAGAGAGAGAGTTTCCGTCGATGGGGACGATGCGAGGCTGAGTTATCGCGGGGGGCCGAGTGTTCCGCGCGAGGGATGTCCCAACCTACGATGTATCTGCCGCCGAGTAAAATTGCTGCGTGTCGTGATCTCTTTCTTTCTCTCTCTCTCCCTCTCCTCTCTCTCTCTCTCTCTCTCTCTCTCTCTCTCTCGTTGCTCCATCGCGGGAAATTTGTTTATTGCCCGAGTGGCGTTTCAGCGGGATCTCATTTCGATCACCGACACGGCGTCCCGTCAATCGCTCGTCTCCAGGACGCGATTACGCAACAGCGGAACATCTCGCCGACACTGAAGCATTGTATTGTAATATTTCCACGTACAATGGTTCGTTAATCGACGCCGTTCGCTGGAGCTCGGCCTCCTCCTCGTTCGCTGGCCGGATTACGCTTGTCGGCTTGTCGAGTACGCGTCCGTGCGTCGAAAATATCGAGTCATATGGGGGGGAAACGGTGTGTAATAAGCGCGAATGCACGGATTCCCGAAGGATGTGCCGGCGGAGGACGTGAACGCGGCGCGGTGCGGCATCGAGCTCGCATTTGCGTAACAAGAGTGCGTATCGCCGGACGATGCGGCATTCAAGAGACGACGATATCGAATTAACGCACGAATAGCCGCGTCGCCCCGGGCGTCCGTTTGATTTTTCAACGGGGGAACCCCACGACACACATGCGGTGTGTCACTTCGATTCGGAAAACGGGCGAAATTATGAATTACAGCATTTGGCAGATACGATCGACCTTTTAACGCTTTAGTCACCGAGGCCACTTGAATTAACCGATAGCCCGGCATCGGCCGCCGAAAAAACACACACGCACGCGCGCGTGTACGAGCGAGAAAGCCGACCGAACGCGCGCGAGGACGTTAAAACGTGTAATTGATATCTAATCGTGAGATACCCGAAGAATCCGCAGTGTAGTGTACCGCCGCGCGAGTATCTCATTTCGCAAACTCTCAAGCACAAAGAAAGAGAGGGAGACTTTGTCTGTCTCTTGAAAAAGCCTCCATAGAAAATTCCACAGCTCCGTAGGGATAAGTAAAAGGCAGCCGCGTTCGTGGACAGAAAAGATGTCGGCGATTTCGTCGCGCAAGTTTCAGAACGCATCCGTCTCGCGGCCGGTGGGAGGATTCCCCGGTGAGGAAACAAATTCTCCGGCGGACGGCTGAACGGGCGCGTTCCAGAGCTCGCGGGAAAAATGACGAGCCGCCTCCTTTCTGTGCCCTCGAGTGTGTAGCTGTCCTCTTTGCGCGCGCGGCGCGCGCGCGCCGCGCATCTCGCCGCTGCGATAAATTACTTACTTGAGTGTTGCGGCTTCGGCTAAAGTTACTCGTCCCCCATAAACCGCGGACGGCCAAGTCGCGCCGCGCGCGCGCGCGCGCGCGCGACATTGTCCGCGTGATAATGCACGCAATATCTATCGCGATATTTTGCCGAAGCCAATTGCTCCGCGGGCATAAATCTCGCGGGCCAGCGTGCAGCGCGCGTTAGCGTGTCGCGACTCGAAATACCGGCACGACCTCGGCTGATATATGTAGACAACCCTATAATTGCGCGTGACACCTCTCGCTGCAAATGAATTCGAGAGCGCGCGCATAAACTCGACAATGGAGACATATTGCCCGCTTGGGTTGCGTCACTAACTACGTCTTAGCGGCCATGCTGCGAGACAAAGCACGATTCTAAAGTGTCAAAACACGAGGCGCCCGAGAGCACGGCCGACGCATTCCCCGGCTCTCTCGCGGAAAAGTGCGATATCGCCGCGCCGGCTGGCCAGCCGGCAGTTCTTAGCTATCGAGAGAAAAGAATGCGAGTAATCAGCATGTCGCGCGCGCGCGCGATTTACACTAACGGGAGCGATAAAAAAGCACACAAAAGACCAACGAGACTTGGAAGGACCGTGCGCGGGCGGCGCGGCTCGCAGCTCGCGGAACGCGAGAGCGAATTGGCTTGCTCGCGTTCAAGATCGAACATTCGAAATTCGCAACACACAACGCAAACGTGCGTTTGACGCACGTCGATGACGCTCCGTCGACGGTGCCGAAAATTGTGCGTCGGGTTGTTACTTGCGCGATTGAAGCGCCTAGAATCGCGTCGCATCAGCAGCCTCTCTCTCTCTCTCTCTCTCGCTCTTTCTCTCTCTCTCTCTCTCTCTCTCTCTCTCTCTCTGACTCAATGGCTGCGAGCCTTTCTTCAACGAGATGACGGACAGAATGGATTACGTCGTCCGTCGCCACGGTGTTTTCGCAAGCGCGGAGCTTTTCGCGCGAGCATTTTTTCGCGAACGCTTGACTTTGACCGGGCCGGCAAACGGCGAGGATGTGAAAGTCGCGCGCGTTTACGGAGAAAGACATTTCTCACTGCTGCTGTCAGCGGGATTGCATGCGCGGCTGGAGGTCAAGGTCGCGACGTTCTCGAGGCGAATCATTAGAACGATAATCTCAGACAAATACGAACGCTAATGTCTCCTCCGTGGATTTTCGTGCGCTCGTTGGCTGTCACCGAGTCTCCTCGCGTCTCGGCGCGAGAGCGAGTCTCCTCCCCCGCTCGCTGCTGCGCGGACCGTCGGCGAGCACTAGAGAATCCTGGCCCCGTTATTAGTAACCCTGAAGAGTCGCGGGTTTCATTACCCATGTCTGCGGAACGTGCCTCTTTTAATCGTCGATAAAGCGACGCGGCTAATGACACATCGCGCCGACAAACAGGATCAACGGCGAATCAGCGATCGCTCGGCGATTACGAATCGCTAATGGGCGACTGTGCACGTTAATTAATATATCGCGCGCCGGCGATTACAGAAATATTACGAGCATCTAATTCCCCCTCCGAATCCGCGCTCCAAACTGTGTAACGAGTAACAGAACGCGCGATAAGCGCTGGATGTTTGACCCTAACGACTCTCTCCGGACTTTTCAATCGCGACGCGGTCTCATAATGTTGCGTTAATCGTAAGTTTAATTAGCGGAGATTACTTTATACTGCGCGTTTTTAATTTCACAGTTATTTACTTGAGACTGCTGCGCGCACGGAAGCAGCGCTGTGATGATGGAACCTTCGTAGAGTATCTCTTCTCTCTTTCTCTCCCCCCTCCCCCCCCCCTCGCCCCTCCTTTTTCTCAATCTGTTTCTGTCTTTTTTAATCCACGTCACCGCAGTTTCAGTCTCGAGTGATTCATTTCGCGCAAACACGCGCACGAGAAACAAAGTATCGATACCTGAGATCTGGAAACGAGTCTGCCTGTATTTGGCAATTGATGATAATCCCGCGGTGGCTCTCGCGGTTTGCCTTCCCAGCGAGAGCGCGGGATTATCGTCGTAACGAGAGCTGCAAAGTTGCAAAATCGATGCAAGAATAGACAACGATAAATTGTCCCGTTTCGTCACAATGACGCGATGCTACACACGTCCGTTTGTGTTAACTGTGCGTGTGATACTCGCTGATAAGATCCTCCTCAAGGTCTTGAGAACGAGCCAGCGCGCGTCAGCGTGCGCGCTGTGAACTCCTTTGAATAAGCATCGAGCGGATAAAGATGCAATCGCATACCTGCGGTCATTACGATATGGCACAACGTCCACTTCGCGGAATGTTGCCGCAGCGCTAAAGTGAACGCTAGCGCCACTTTGCGCGCGCGACTCTATACCTGCTAACCGCGGTTGCAGCGGATAATT